CAGTTAATTTACTGAAACTTATTATTAGGCAGTCCTTGGGAGCCATCACGCTAGAATTTCTCCATAAGAGAGACTTAGAGGCAGGCGATCTCAATGGAAGCGGGGAGACTTGAAACTGCATTTGCTCAGTGGTTTACGTAAGCTGAAGAACACGCAAAAAGAACAGGTGGGAAACGGCACCACTGGGTCTTTGCCACAGCTATGGGTCCCGACTGTTCCACCCCTAAATCCCTCTTTGGCCTGGAGCTATCTTAAACAAATGAACAGCATTAAAAATATTAGGTTTGCTTCCGTTCCATTTTCTTCTGAGGCCACTGCACACAGCATATCAACACAGATCCTTTGGGGACCTTTAAGTTAGGAAATATTCATAGGTGACATATGAAGGAGATGTAATAGAAGTGAATAGCATTTCAAAAACATACAGAATTTGAAACATGGCTCTGTTCTGTGGAAGTGAGTGCAACTTGTGAAAAGCGGACAAAACTATGCTTTTGTGAAAATCATCATCACCTCTCTCCTATACACACACTGTTCTAAAAAGGTAAAGACAAAACAACTCCCCTGTGTTGATTAAAAGCCAAGAGGCATTAAATATTCCCTAGGAACTAGACAAACCTGGCACTTGAAATTACAAATTCAAATCAAAGGAGACCTGTTAAGTCTGATCCTTTGCTGCAGGTTCACCTGTGACTTTTACTCTAGGCAGACAATGATAAGTCACATGGTTAATTGGATACCTGAAATTTTGCATAGAAGACCATTCCCATCCATTTCACTTCTTGTTTGTAAACTTCATGCTCTAGTTTGTGATTGCTGATGTGATCCACGTGTCTTAGGCTTAGTGTAAAAGATGGTGGTGACTTTGAAATGGCTAGTTCTAAACTAACTACTGGGGGTGGGGCTTTAAGATTTTGGGTATCTCCCTGCCTAATCCAGTGTGAGAACAGTATCCTAATTCAACAAGTATTTATGGAGTGCTAATGATGGGTAAATTAGTATGCTAATATAATGAACAAAACGTAAGATATTTCAAAGGAACTTAAATTACATTCAAATGAGATATGCCATCTGTATCCAGATTACACCACAATTTAGGTAATTATTCTTTTATTTTTGGCATGAAAGTTTTTCCCAATCATTTGCTATCATTCAAGATGCTCTCCTGAATGTGCATATATTCATTTATTCAATAAATATTTAGTACCTACGATATGGCAATCATTAATCTTAGAGCTACATGATTTCATATCACGGTAATAATAGAACCTGTATATAATATTTCAAAGTTTTTTTTTGGATTTTCTCCTTTGAGAGATCTTTGTTCCAAAAGTTGCACCAGCTTATGATTTGATGTTATCCTTAAAGAACAGAGAGAGACCAGCCTATCTAATCTCAAATGAGGAGTTCTAGAATGCTCGCCCTTTGTAGATCACATCTGCCTCAGGGGAGATTATGAAAGGTCCATAATCCTTTGTCCTTTTGAAGTATAGGCCAAAGTAGAAGCAAAACTCTCCAGCAATGGAGAGTTCTAGATCTTCTCAGATACATGAGACCCGTGATAGATGGAAAAAGAAAAGCTAAGCTGAAGATATTTTTAACCATAGAAGAAGAAGACATATCTAGCAAACTTCTATTTATAAATTTGATAAATTTAATGTTACCTAAAATCCACATTACTGCTTAATTCAACTAAATATAAAACCCCAAACTATAAACTTTGTAATGTAAGAGAAAGATTTCTTGCGTTTCTCCTAAATTGTCAACGTGTTCATTGCTTTAAAATTACAGCAAACCGAACATTTTTCTTCAGCATTTCCATTATGAGGTTCCCTTCCTGCTTACCGTTAATAAGAAACTCAAGATGTCTAGTTATAAAATATTCTCCACCACTCGTTTATTTATCCTTGTTAAATGTTGTTTTGGCGACCTCTAGTGTGAAACGTGGCATCAGTACCTCCGCTGTAGAAAATCCTTTTAATATTTTAAAGCTTGCTTACAGACAAAAGGTAAAATAATATTTTACCAAAGGAAAAGTAATGTTAGTTCATTTCAATTTGAAGTTCACATTTTATGCAGTAATAATAAAATGTAAACATAATTTCTGGACACATAGACATTTGACAATCAATAGGGGAGTGGTTATATTGAGAGTATACTGCACCCCTGCAATGGAATATTACACATCTGTAAAAGAAGATGAAAAATGAGGGAGCGCTTGTATTCATATGGGTTAATGTCCATTATATGTCCAAGAAAACAACACAAAGCAAAGTAAAGAACTATGCTAAGCATTTTGCTACCATCTGAATTTCGGAAGGGCTAAAGTATCATATACTTTTGTATTTGCTCATTCATCCATTAAAAATCTCTGGAAGGATATATGAGAGACACGTAACAAGAGGCATGGGAAATGGGAAGAGATTGGAAACTGCATTCCTTTGCACACTTTTATGCTTTGAATGATGTCTTGACTATTCAAAATATTAAGTGACTTTTTAAAAAAGTTAAAGCCATCAGCACAAAAACAAGATGAAAAAAAAAATCTGGCCTTTCATTTCCAGACTTAAAAAAATAGACTGGAAAATATATCATTTCCTATCTAAAGCATATTTTTCATTATAAATCCTTAATTCTATGTCTTTTTTCCATGGAATCTTTTCTTGCAGATTTACTCAAATGCCCAATTGTCAGGCAGCATTTGGTGGTTACGCAGAAGGAAGCTAACAGGATTAACTTGAGGGTATGTCTTGGAGCATGAGACACACGCAGCTGTCCTGGCATGTCTTGACGGCAGGTCCGCTGGGTCCAGACCAAGTTTCCTTATTGGCGATAAGTGTACAGGAACTGTGATTGTCCTTACTAGTTCGTAGTTTAAAATGCACAAGGAATACCTTTCAAGTATACAGGGTGGGGCAAAAGTAGGTTTACGATTGTTCGTATGGAAAATAATACAAGAATTAATAAATAATAATATAGGAATAAATTCTATTTTGCATACTCACAACTGTAAACCTACTTTTGCCCCACCCTGTACAACTAAATACCCAGGAATAAATCTGGCAGGAAATGTGAAAGACCTATATGAAAATTATACAAGCTTTATTTAAAGTCAAAAAAGTAGACATAAATAAATGGAAATACACACTATGTACATAGGTGAGAAAACTCAATGTGGTTAACATGACCATTCTCCCCAAATACGTCTTTAAATTCAATGTAATTACAAGTAAAATTGTAGCGGGGCGTGTGTGCGTGCACCTCCGAGGATCATCTGGGGGATGCAGAAGGTACTAGTCAGAGACTGATTTAGGTTTAAAAAATTAATGTTCAATTTTTTTTAAGTTATACATTTTTTAAAAACTGCTTTTCTCCCTAAGCTTTTAAAATCAGCTAAAAATCCTAAACTATACATCTAGCAAATTTTGACAATCAGTTTTAAGGAGCTTTTGGATAAAATTAGGTCCACTCCAAATTTTAACTCTTAAACATTATCACACTTATTAATGTCATATATTCCATTTTCCTTGCAAATATTGCAATCGTCTGTTTTACAAAATCTGTTCACCAACCTAAATTATTTTCACAAAGCTAATCAATTACATTTAAAATTTATGAAAAGAAACAAGTTCTCTCATATACTCCATGGCAAAATTGTGTCACCTCAAAATTCCTATGTTGACATCCTGACCCCCAGGATCCCAGAATGTGACATGTGGGCCTAGAACCTATACAGAGGTAACTAAGGCAAAATGAGGTCATGCAGGTGAACCCTAACCAAATATGACTGGTGTCTTTGTAGGAAGAGATTAGGACACAGACACACACATAGGGGAAACTGTGTGACAACGAGAGAGAATGGCCATCGGCAAGACAAGGAGAGAGAGCTCGAAATGAAATTGACCCCACCATCACCTTGACTTTGTACTTTTAACCTCCAGAACTGTGAGGAAATAAAGTTCTATTGTTTAAGCCAACAGTCTGGTAGTTTGCTTTGGGAGCCCCAGCAAACTAGTCTACCTTGGTTCTTAATTCATACATGTAAATATATTTTCCATCTATCTCTACAGGCCTTTGAATTTGAAAGAACTCTCACATATCCTTAGATTCATTCTTCATGATATAGAAATATTAATTTTCATGGCTTTGTTTAACTGGTCAATCACAATTTCCACAAAGATTTTACTGACAATTCTAAATTCGTGGAGAACAAAGGTTCAAAAATGTTAAATCGTCTATAAAACAAGAACTTGTATAGGCTTTTACTATGTCAGATATCAAGATGTATTAATTCCTGTGTTACTACTGTGAGCATAGACTACAGAATGCTCAGAAACAGATCTATCCACACACAGCAGCTGCACTAGAGAGGAGAACAGAAAGGATGTACTGTTTAATGAATGACTGGTTATCCCTGGGAACTGGTTAACCACATAGGAAAGCATTAAAATTTTTGATCCCTAAAGCAGCAACTTTCAACCTTTGATATCTCATGGCACACAAAAACTAATTACCAAAATTCTAAGGCACACCAAAAAGTACATTTTTTGCTGATCTGACAAAAATAGATATAATTTTGATTCAATCACACCGGATGGTTATTGTTGTGTTGGCTATTGTCATTTTTTTATCTGACAGTCTAAAGGAAAAGAGGTCAGTGCCCCTGACTAAATGGTCAGGTACCACATGTTTGAAAAAATTTTGTGACATAACAGTAGAAAGTCACTGCTCTAATGCAAAACAAAACAAAAACTTCCAGTGGATTGAAGCAATAAATATAAAAAACCTAATTCTAAAACTTTAGAAGACAATGAAAAAACTGTTACTGCCCAAGGGTAGAAAAGTTTTGCTTGATTTCATTTTTTAAACTAAATGCAAAAAGCATGAAATATGAAGGAAGGCTGATACTTTTGACTACTTCAAAGTTAACTTTTGTACAACAAATGATTCCATAAAGAAAGGGTAAAGCTGAGTTGCAGGCCAGAAAAAGATTTTCATATAGGTCATTTCAAAAAGAGCCTGTGGAACCAAAACCAGGAGCTCTTAATGCTGTGACCCAAGACTGAAGTTCTCCATAGGATGTAATAGACACTTGATAGTGCTGTGTTTCCTAAGGAGATGTAAGATTTTAAAATAATAATAATAATAAATAAATACACCAAAGATTTCCATTGCATTATAACCGACAAGACTAGTATCCTGAATTTATAAATATCTTCTAAAAAATAGTAAAAAAAAAAAAGCCCCACCAAATTCCCAATAAGAAAATGGGCAAGATAAAATATGCAATTGACGGAGGAAAAATATAATAGGCCAGTAAACACATTAAAAAAGATACTCGGTCTCTCTAGTTAAGCAGAGATATACAAATTAAAGGCACAGTGGAATTCCATTCCACCCATCAGATTTGAAAATTTTTTAAATGTCTGAGGACACCAAGTTTTAGGAGGGGTATGCAACAAAATGAATTCTCATTTTGCTGGTGGGAGAGCCAATTGGTATAAGTAATCTAGAGAGCAATTTGGAAATACCCAGCAAAGCTTGAAGACATTTCTTTATCTCAACTGTATTCCTGTATATATTTTTCAAGAAATTTCTTCACATGTATAAGAATATATGTACAAGGATATTTCTTGCAGCATTGTTTCTTGCATTAAAAACATGAAATTAAATGTCCATTATTGAGAAAATGGACATGTGATGGTATGTTAATTCAGTAGCATACTACACAATGATAAAAATGAGTAAAACTACATCTATATCGTCATGGATACAATGTGGGAGAGCAATGATCATAACAATACATACAGGGTATCTTTTATATAAAGTTTTAAAATGTGTATAACACTAACACTATTGCTTATGGATGTACAAACTATCAGCAACCAATATTCAAGATAGTACCCTGAAGTGAATAGCTAAGGGAGGGGAACACAGAGAACTTCAAGTTTATTTCTGCAGTTTTATTTCTTAAAAAAAATAAATAACAGATTTGGAAACAAAAATGGCAAGATGGCAAGGTTTGCAATATCTGGATGGTGAATTCAAAGGTATGCCTTATAATAGTCTCTAACATTTTAGGAGTGAAACGTTTGTTAGAACAAGATTTAATCCGAAGAATAAAACGTTTTTTCATATTTGGTACATTTAATCTCATAAAGAATATTTTTGTTTTTATAAATAAAAACTGTTTATATGAAAGGTGTGCAACATAATGAAATGACTGCTCCAGTCCAGGTAATCAACATACCCTCGTGCGGTGAGAGCACCCGAAATCTATGCTTAGAAAATTTCCCGTATTCAATACAGTATTAACTATAACCTGCAACTTCGCATCAGAATAAAACTACTTTAAAGTTATTTTTTTCCATTAAAGAGTTCTTTTTATTGTTGTTTTTCCATTTATTAAATCTTTTTTTGAAAATACAATCTGCCAGGCTATGAGGATATCACGAAAGAAGCATACGATAAAACATAACAAAAAAGTAAACTTTCTCAACTAGTTTGTATTCTCATGAGGAAGTTGTTAAACCAAAAAAAGGGGGGCGTAGAAAACGGTAATAACCAGGAGATGAGATGACAGACAAGTTGCAAAGCGGAAGGAGAATTTACATCTGCCTGGAGTAGCCAAAGCCGATTTCAAGGAGATGCTTTTGAGCTGACTCAACGGGAAAAGGGTCTGCCAAGGGTTCAAAGGCGTTCCAAGCAGAGGGAACAGCTTGTACAGACAACTGGGGAGGCGAGCCGCACGAACGTTGAGGAGTATAGGCTGGGGCGGGTGGGGTGGGGTGACGGCTGGAGGGAAGATATCACTATTACACGCTCAAGAGTAAGGAGGGGCTTGAAGTGGGGGTCGGAACGTGCTGGAACTGGTACTAAGCTTCGGTCAAAGGGCAGGAAGCAGCGGCCCTGCAAACTTTGACTTAACTTTCACTACACACGACCAGTAAGGACCAGAACTCGTATCTCCTGACTTAGGGCGATGAACCCTCTAGTTGTGAAGGGGCTACCGGGGAGCAACATTTGCCCCGAAATAAAAATTGTACCCAGTTCATCTCCCAAGCTGCCTTTTGCTCTGAGTTTCCCTTATCCTGTCAGCTCCAAACCGCCTACGGACGCTATCGGCCTCCAGAAATCCCCTCCATTTAGGCAGGCCGCTTAAGGCCTCTTAAAAAGCAGCGAGGTATACCAGAGGCCTGCTTCGGGGGACTTCGGACACCACAAGTCCCAGCATGCAACGCTCCCGGTTAGAGAGGGGACCACTAACTGGACCGACGTGCAACGTCTCTCCGCCAGGGGGCGGAGCTCTTGGTAAGGGAGGCCGACGCGGACTAATGGCGTCACCTAAGCAACTCCAATTACTTGCTAGAACCCACTTCCGCTTCCGTCTCTAGTCCTAGAACTACAGGACACGCAGCTTTCGCCGTGGTGACGCCGTTTGCCGGCGACTGCACCGGTGTGGAGCTTTCGGTAGCGGTTCCTCTCCCGCGTGAAATATTAGAGGAGCTCCTCGTCCGAGGCCTGTGACCTGAGAACGACTAGGAAAGCGGCGAGATGACGGACCGCTACACCATCCACAGCCAGCTGGAGCACCTGCAGTCCAAATACATCGGCACCGGCCACGCCGACACCACCAAGTGGGAATGGCTGGTGAACCAGCACCGCGACTCCTACTGCTCCTACATGGGCCATTTCGACCTTCTCAACTACTTCGCCATTGCGGAGAATGAGAGCAAAGCTCGAGTCCGCTTCAACTTGATGGAGAAGATGCTGCAGCCTTGCGGACCGCCAGCCGACAAGCCGGAGGAGAACTGAGATCCCGGCTTGTCTGCGCTGAGCGGGAGAGCGCCAATCCCTTCTGTGATTCTACCGTCTGCCATCATTCCCGCCTGTCCCTGCCTCAAGTGGACTGATTCTCCATGGTTTCTTCTCGTGCTCTTCCTGACCAGAAGAAGGTGCTTACTTATCCCGGGCGTTTCACCTGACCCGCCTTCATGTGGACCCTTCGGAACACAGCGTTGGGGAGACAGGACGCCAGAGAACTGTGACCCTGGACTCTTTAAAGCCAGCGAGCGTTAGGGGTGACTGCACTGGAGTGAGATGCAAAGTGGAGGCTCGTTTTTGGCTGCTTGTCGTTGTTGATTTTTTTCCATAAAGTTCAGAAACTTTTCAGTCTTTGTGTGGGCTAGTTGTGTTCAGGTGGAGGGGTCCAGGGAGGGTTCTGGGGACTGCTCTTTTGTGGGAGTCTGAGCAGGAAATCCGGGTGGGGGGCGTGGCCAGACACTTAAGGCCACCCTGCACAACTTATAAAAATTCTCCCACCCTGACTTCTCCCAAGAGTCATTTTCAGGTCCATAATGCCTTCAGTATTGAGGTTTGAGATAATTGTATCTCACCTTCTTTTTCTCCCATTAAAAAAAAAAATCTTTTTAATCATTGCCCTCCTCTCTCTCAAAAATCGAATCCTCTTGGGATCCACTTGGGGTGTCATGAGAGATGACAAGCTATCAAAAGAGTTTTTTTTATTAACTCAACATTCACCAAATATTTATTGAATTCTACTGTGGTAGGCTTTTTTTTTCCCACATTTTGGGGGGTCTTGTAGTGGGGAAGCCACATAAACTACCAGGGGCATCCAATCTTTTGGCATCTTTGAGCCACACTGGAGGAAGAAGAGTTGTCTTGGGCCATACATTAAATATACTGACAAAAACTGATGAGCAAAAAAAAGTTTTAAGTAAATTTACGATTCTGTGTTGGGCTGCATTCATAAGCCATCCTGGGCCACATGTGGCCTGTGGGACAGGTTGTCAGGTTGGACACCTATGCTAGGCATAGCGAATGTTAGGTGTGTAGAGGGTGGGAGTAGGTAGGATTGCAATTTTCAACAGGATGCTCATGTTTGATTATTGAGATAGTGATATTTGAGCAACGACTTTAAGGCAGTGAGGGGAATAGCCCCAGAAAACTGAGGAAATTGCTTCCAGACAAAGGGAACTGCCAGTGCAATGGTCCTAATGCTGGAATTGGGTCTGGTTTGCTGAAGAACCAGCAGGGGTGAGCACAGCTGGAGGTAGTAAGGTAGGGAAAGAATGGAGGGACAAGTAATAGGGAACAGATAAGAGTCTATTAGGCTAACTCTGGCTTTTTCCCTGAAGGAGACTGGGAGCCACTGGAAAATTATTAAGTGATGATATCTGCCATGTTTCAGATCAGTGGTTCTCATTTAGGCCTTGGGATTCCATTATATTCTTACAAATTCCTGAAGACACCACAGAGCCTTTGTTTATGAGGTTTATAGCTGTTGATATCACCAAATTAGAAGTTAAAACAAAATTTTAAAATAGCAATATACTTAACAGTAATAAAGCCATTACATGCTAGCAAAACAGTTTTTACTTAAAGTAACTTCTTGCTTTTTTTAAAAAGACAATTTTGTAGATGTTTTCAATGTCTAGCTTATTAGAAGACAGATTCTCCTGTCTGCTTCTTCATTCACTCTATTGGGATATGAAGTTCTTTTATCTTTTAAAAGATTTTATTTATTCATTTTTAGAAGGGAAGAAAAGGAGAAAGAGGTAGAGAAATACCAATGCATGATTTTGCCTCTCATGCACCCCATACTGGGGACTTGGCCTGCATCCCAGGTATGTGCCCTGACTGGGAATCAAACTGGTGACCCTTCGGTTTGTAGCCCAAGCTCAATCCACGTAGCTATGCCAGTCAGGGCTGGGATATGAAAAAATCTACTCCACATGAATATGTAGTAGGGGAGAAATATTTAATAACCTTTTCAAGTAATTGTAGATATTCTTTGATACTCTACCAAAACCCAACAAGTAGTAATTTTCTAAAAGTTTGTTACAACATGGAATTTGATCACTCAACTAAAATTGAATAGACAACTTTCATTGTCTATTGCTTTAAAATTTATTACCTGTTTTAAACTTTGAATATTTTACACATACATGATTTGCAACATCATGCATCAGTCATTTGGAAATGGCTCTAGTGAGTTATACAAGCTTCTCAAATGTTGACGTATGTCATTATACATATCAAGTCACATTTATTAATGACATCACTGATATCATCAAGAAAGTCTAATATTGGGTTGGCCAAAAAGTTCATTTGGTTTTCCCATAAGATGGCTGTAGTAGTGCTTAATTGTCTTTAACCTCATTCGAAACAATTTTGTTAGATTGTACTGTGACAGCTGTCATATCAGCGCGCATTAAAAAAACAAAATTGGTGAATTTTTATGTAGCCATTTTGATGTTAAAAATATGAGAAAATAAGCAATATTTTGGGCATATTATGCTTTATTATTTCAAAAAAGGTAAAAAATGCAACTGAAAGATACAAAAAAAAGATGCAGTGTGTGGAGAAGGTGCTGTGCCTGATGGAACGTGACAAAAGTGGTTTGCGAAGTTTCATGCTGGAGATTCCTCACTGGAGATGCTCCACAGTCAGGTAGGCCAGTTGAAGTTGACAGACATCAGATTGTCAACAGTCAGTGTTCTGCCACGCAGAAGATAGCCGACATACTCAAAATATCCAGATCATTAAAGTTATTGGTGAAAATGAAAACTGTGTCTTTTATTTTACGAGAAAAACTGTACAGACTTTTTGGCTAACCCAATCATATTGGGAAGCTGAAAAACTCATAGGGTAAGTTTTTCAGTTTTAGTTTTTGCTTAATAGCCTAAATTTGATCACTGGTAGCAAATACTATCTGTTGTTTTCCTTGAAGCAACAGGCCCACTTTGTTTTCAAGACAATGTCTGCTAAATTCCCAATTCTGAAAAATTGCAGTTGGTCATTCTTAAAAGTAAAAATATATATTCCTTGAGAGAAAAATAACCATTTAAGTTTTGCAACTCAAATAGTGGTCTCGTTTGAGAAAACCATAGTACTTTGGTGGCGGCAGAAACACTTTATGCATACTACCGATTTTGTCCTGCAAAAAACTTTAAAAGATGTGTTCTCCAGATAGGATTACATAAAATCAATACTGTTACTGCTTCATCAAGAACATTTTTAAGTGAAATAGTTGATATGTTGGCTTCTTGGTTTTATGAGGAAGTTAACGGCAGAGGAGAGTACAATGACTACCAGTAGTTTGCAGCCACTGCCTTGATTCCTGCTGGTAGTTCCACTCACGGATGCTTTTCTGCTGTCTGTGCAAGTGTTAATGCAGTGGAAATGGCAAATCTCTGAATTATGAAAACTGTTGGCTTCATGAATTTTCTGAAATTTCTTCCCTACCATTTTTACTCGGGAGGGAAAAAAGGCTAGAGTGGTAGTAAGTGAAACTACAGGGGTAAGCACAGGTAGGTTTACATTGTGACATGATGATGTTCTTAACATTCTTCTGAGTTAATAAAGCTGTTGTGATAAATAATCATAGCCTGCTAGTCTTTTTCCATACGAACAACTATAAACCTAATTTGCCCAACCCGTGTGGTTATTCACACTTGTGTATCTGGCAGACGTTTTCTCCAAAAAAAAGGAAGGAAATGGGACATCACTTCAAGAAAAACAGCTGAACCGTTTCAAAGGATCCCTCTGCTATGCTAAGGATAGACTGAGAGGTAATGTCAAAGAGAATAGAGTGTCATTGTCAGGGATGAAATAAAATTATTAATACTAATGCTCCTCCCCCACCACCACCTTACCTTGAAGAGTAGGAGAGAGCCAGTCGGTAAAACCCCATCCTGATAAAGGTTTACAACGTGGCATGACAGCGGGCCCTGCCCTGACCTGGAGGTGGTAGCAGGAGAGCAGGAGAGATGACCACCTTCACTGGAGACAGGACTGAACTGGATATAGGGTATGAGTTAGTTTACATAAAGAATCAAAAGAGTAACATGGACGGTAAGCATGGAAAGAATTGAAAAGGAAGTTAGTCATTTAGAAAATGCTTCATGAACTGGCTAGGATTTACATTGTTAGGTTTCCCAAAGGCAGGGATTTGGGTCTGTTCCATAACCTATTGTACTTCAAGTATCTAGACTGGTGCCTGGCACATCACAAGTGTTTAGTAATTGTGGAGTGTTGAGTATGGAAAGATATCATAATATCCTGTAGTATACTGGACTGATGCTAATTCATGTTCTTAGTCTTCAACTTCACCAAAATAGACAATAGCAGGGAAAAGATATATTTCAAACCATGCTTCCTAAATGGTAATACTAGCTAACACGGATAGCTTTTATGGTGTACTAAGTGTTTCATGTGATGTTTGGGAGGTATTGTCTTTGTTTTACCAGCGATAAAGGTTCAGAAAAGTAATTTGGTCACAATTACTATGTGACTAAGCCAGGATTTCAACCAGGTCCTTCTTTATTCCAAAGTACAAAGTCTTAAATATACCATTCCCCAAACAGGTCTGGTATCTAAAAACCATAGTAGAGTAATTTTAAATCAGTTATTGTCTCAGATAATAAAACTGAAATATTAAAAATGCAGTAAATCCCACTGAAGGACTGTCAGAGCAACATAAAAAGTTCTTATATTAAGTAAAAATGTTAACTTGGAATATTTTCAATAAACATAATTTTAATGGGGAGAGTAATAATTTGTGAGGGAAAAATCCATTCAAGGATCTGAAAATAAAGTGTGGTCCAAATAAATTGAACGGAGCCTGTTATTATTTTTTGTTCTGGTGTAAAGTTATATTTGTATCAAACACAGGAGGGCAGCAGATGGTGAGCTGATAGAAATTACTTTGGGGAAGAGCTTGAAGCCTGTCGGGTCCTGCTTTACTTGGGGGAAAGTCAACTCTGTGTTTACTTGCAGCGATGTCGTGAACAGAAAGCCACTCTGTGAACTATAAAGTCCTGAACATGAGATAAGATGTACACCCTGCCCTAAAAGGCTGCTGGTTCAGAAAACAGAAAACAGCACATAAATGCCTCTGATCTGTAGCAGGGAGTGAGTGGTAAGTGCCGAAGAAAAAAAGGCAGTGAGCTTCACGAAGAGATTACTGCAAACTGCCGGTGAGGGTGTGGATGAGGATGTTGTTGAGAAAGAGTCTTTTGAGCAGGACCAGGAGTGATAAGTAGGATTTACGTATGTTCAGATGATAAGGGCAAGGAATTATGGGCCTTTGAGGATATTACCAGCCGCCCTAGCAAAGGCAGAAGAGCTCAAACCACTCATTGCTATTT